CATCCCTGGAGGTGTTCAAGGCCAGCCTGGATGGGGGTTGGAACTCGATGATCTTTAAGGTCCTTTCCAACCCTAGCCATTCTATGATTCTCTGAGTAACAGTCCATGGGGCTGTGGTCTTGGTTTGCTCAGCTCTACAGAATTTGCAGAAGGAGAAAAGAAATAGCTGTGTAGAGTTTCAGCCATTGTTCTCTTTTAAGGCAGATAGAAATGCCAGCTTCCTCATTGCAGTAAGACTATATATTTCTCCACACCTTTTTTCTTTTAGGCACCAAGAGTGGAAGCACAAGTTCTTTTAGGATCTCTAGTCTGTTTTCCCAATTTATATCATGAACTACCAGCTCTTCACCCAAACATTCCTGACATTGCTGTGTCTCAGTTTACGGACGTTAAGGTAGGAATTTTAAGAATATTTGGATGGCATTCATCCACCAAGTCTATGTTTAATTGATGTTTTTCCAGGAAATACTAGCTAAAATTTTAACATTCTAAAATTTTTCAGAATTTCAAATAGATTACAAGGCTCAAGATCCCATAAAATCTTGTCAAACTTTATACTATTAAACATACTTTATAATTGCTATTAACTTAATAATAAAGTGTTTTAATATGTTTGTAAAAGGAAATGATGTGCTATCTCACTGATGTATTATCTCACCTTTTTAAGCCTATTCTCATTAGGACTATTTGCAAGGTCTCAGATTTAGTCAGCTAAGATTAGAAAATTGAGAGGTTCAAGATACATTACTTAATTTACTGAAAATTCACAACTGGTGAAAGTTCTCTGTACAACAATATGTTCTTTTAGACAAAAAGCAAAGATTAATGGAGACCCTTCCCCTTCTATTGTGACACAGAGCTGGTTAGTGTGCCAGTACTCTGAAACTGGGTAGAGCTCTGTTCATGTGTTTAGTTGCTGTATGATTACTATGTCTAAGAAAGACTCCCCATAAGCTTCCAAACTGTTTCAGTTTAGAGAGACATAATGGCTTGGAAGCCACTTTGTACCTTGCTCCCTTTTGAGGACTGATTTTGAATTCCTTCTTTCTCATTTCTGTTGTATAAGAGCTGTTTACTTGAGCTTTACTGAGAGCAAGGTACAGCTTTAGGGATATTATACTGCAGTTGAGTCAAAATTCTTTTTGACGTCATTCTTAAGGCACTGTAGCCACTTGTTCTGCATCTACTTCCAAAGACTTTTGAAATCAATGTAATTTTGAAAAACTGCTTGTTTAAACCTCAAAGTAATAGATTTTTTCTGTAATACCATTCAGTGCTGTTCACAGAAGCTAGCTTTAGTGAGTAATTTGGTTTTGGTTTTTTACCGTTAATGTTTTATGGGAATGTATTGTCAAGAACTGGATAAATGTTTAATCAGCAGAAATTAGGACGGTAACGTGGGGCATTCTTGAGGTAGCACAGTGATGAACATCTGGGGCAGACTAGAAGCTTGGAGTAGTGGTAAGCAAACAATTCATCTGACCACAAACCTAGAGATTCAGCTAAGCAACATGCCTGTGTGTGCTATAATAAAATTCTAGTTTTCTGATGCTTTATGTGATGGAGTTATTGGTAAATCAGTGAATATTTTCTTCTTTGTTTTAGGAACTCATAATTAAAACTGTGTTAAGTTCAGCAAGAGAGGAGCCATCTGGTCCTGCACGGTAGGTCGTACATAAAGAGCTTCTATATTAAGATTCTTTTCTTTATTATACTGTTTTGGGGTGGATATATTAGAGAGCTTAAAGTAAAAGTTTGTTTTATTCATAGTTTTCTTCACCACTATCAAAACTGTTATCTACCATGTGAATTTGAAGTTGTTTGTAAATAGAGATATTAAAAGAACAGACGTCTTCTGTCAGACCAAATTCTGGTCTAGCCCAGTATCCTTTCTCTGATAGTGGCTGATTGGAAAGGGTATAAATACAGGAAAGAGTATAAGCTGTATGCTTTCTCAGCCTAGCCTGGTGTTCAGCTCAGGGATTTTCTGTACTAGAGAGGCATTTTTTACTTTGATTAAAGACGGAAGTATTTATGAGGGATGTATGGTTATTTTTCATTAGACCACATGATTTAAGTTGAAAAATTGAAATAATCCAAGGTACATGAACCCTTCTTTATGGTATGGAAAAGAAGCAGAAAATACTGAGCTAAACATTAAACTGGGAATGATTGCTCTGGTGCTTAAACCTAAGCATCTTGATCCAATAGAGAACTTCAGAGAGGATAGTTAACAGTTTTCTTTTCTGTTTCTTAACTTGCTTAGGATTTTGTTCCTCCTTACCCATCCCCAGAGGCTTTCAGTTATAGACTCCTGCATATGGGATTGGAACAAGGGTCTGTAATGCCTACCAAGGAAGACCACACTTGTGTGCCTTATGTATTTGAGTGGACTGTTTATATATGCTCAACTAGTATACTGGCATTTAACAAATACAAAATATTAGAACTACATGTCTGAAAAATGTTACTGGAAAGATCAGTTCATTGATCCTTAAAATGTTTTGCTCTTAAGAAGAGCAGTTTTTATCAGCCCACGTACCTGTTCTTCACTTGAGTTGGTAGTATCTCTCAATACAGGGGAAGGAAGGAATGTTCTGAGATAATTTTCATTTAGTTTTTCATGGTCTTTTACAAAACTGAGTTCTACAAAGCATAACACTCTCCATTTTGCTTTTGAAAAAGGTGGTTTAAATGCAGTTGGTTCAGAGTATTATTACTGATCTTGTAGCACTGAAGCTCATGGTATTAGCATCTTCAGTTCTGACAGTGTGGCTGGGAAGTGGAAGGGAACATCCTGCATGTCTCCATATCCTGTCCGGCTGTGAGGGTGTGTATATAGGAGCAGAGGCACACACGTGTGCTCAGCCTTTCAGAAAGCTGAGTTATGCTGCCCCCAAAATACTAAGTTGCACCACTGTGTGTAATAACATTAAATGAAGATTAAAAAGGAATAGATTCCCAATGTCTCTTTGGGTTACCTATGCCTCTCTCCTTCTTCTGGGAGATGAAAGGGTATGTCTTCATGGTGGGGATAATGATGTGCCCACAGTTGCTGAACCTTGGCTGCCTTACTCCTCGGAGGCAGTTTATCCACTGTCTTTTTTTGGTAGTAGCTTCTCTGATACCACCTACTTCTCAGCAGTACAGAGTTCACCTGGGTTACTATGAGAGGTCATAATTAGGATCTGCATTATGATTTTGCCACATTGACTCAGCCACTAGTAGAGGCTTAATTGTCTTTACAATTTCCTAGGAGAGAACTTAGGTTTCTTGGAACCTAGGTACATAGCTTTGTATATCTCTAGGAAGTCTGAGTGCTGTTGTTGTTAGCCAAGCTATAAATCCCTATTCCTTATCTCTTCCACAGACACTCAATGTTTTGCATTTCATTACATCCTTGACCCAACTGAGCTTCAGGGAAGTTAGTTATCTTAAATATATTCTACTCTCAGATCTCCATCTATAAAGATTAATAACTGTATTAATCAAATTCCTCTCCTGCTACTGACAGTCTGAAAAAGAAGTGATAGGTTGATGAACTCGGTGTTCATCTCTTCTTCTGCTTGTGCTGTTAAGGCTGTGATTCTTTAATAACAAGATTATAGCCATGTAACTACACAGTTTTTCAGAGACTACTCTGAATAATGATAACAATACTGATGTTCTTGGTAGAAACCTCAGAGTCCTGGGTATTTTGCACATCAGTATGTCATCGGATGTGGAATGGATCTCAGCAGCATGAAGAAAACTTTAAATAGTAACACTAAAGGTTTATTTTCTGCATCAGCTTACACAAAACTGTCTACATTTATTGTTAAATTCATGATATGTTCTTAACTTCTTTTGTTCAAAAAGTATTGAAACACATACTGTGAAAATAGCGGAAGTGTAGATGAGGAAGAGACCAGGACCACTTCTGTAAGCTCCCCTTCCTCTGATGTTGGAGTGTGTTTAAAACATTCCTGGCAGTAGTTTGCCTAAATGGTCACTAAAATTTTCTCAAAGAAGAAACTTACAAAAATCTTAGATAGACTGTTCCAATACTTATCTATTTTTTACAGTCAGGTTGTTTTTATGACCAGTGTATAGGAGAAGACTTTTCTACTGGCAATAAACTCTTCAGTGACTTAGGGCACATCAGCAGTTTTCTTATAATTTCCTTCCTTAATTGTGATCTAGAATCAGCACGCCCTTCAACTTTTCCTCCATGTGTAATATTTCCCAAAGCTCATTATTTTTTTCAACTTTTTTCATGGTGTCCCTCAAGCTTGTCTTTATTCCTAAATTATATTAATCAAAATGTAATGGAGGCAGCGTTGCAATTGAGATTTCAGCGACGGTGTAGAAAACAGAGTGGTTTGACATCTTATTTACACCAGCACATAGAATTAATTCCAAGATGTACTTTTGTCACCTGTTAGCAGTTTCATGATTCTGTGTAGTCTTAAAATCCTTTTTCTATAGCACCAGCTTCATAGCTACTGCTGTTTCTGTTCTAGCATATGATTTTTTCCTTCTCAGATGTAATGCTTTGCAGTTCCCACGACCACCTTTCATCTTGTTGATTTTGGATTGCTCTCCAATTTTATACAGAGGATTTTGGATTCTGAAGTTGTTTCCAGGATATTTGCAGCCTATGTTCTTGAAGATAATTACTGATGATTCAGAGATTGCCTAAGCTAGCTCCCTACCATTTCTGAAAAAATGTCATCCATCTCTGCTGATTTGAACACGTCTGTCTGAATACTCTTTACCTTTACACTTATCTTCTATTTTCTGATTTTAAATGAAGGAACAACAACAAAAATGGAAGAATTTAATTATAATATGTACACTGTCTCTAATATTCACTTACCCCTCCTCTATTCATCCTTGTTTCTTGTCAATCTAAAAAAATGTAAATATCTATGAATGAATAACATTCCCTTCTCTTGTCTCTGTGTCCCAGAAGCTCTAAACAAATATGAGCAAACTCTCATGTTGGGGAGGAGGAACTTTCCACCACAATTTTTACCTTGTCTTCAGAAAATATGTATGAATTTCCCATACATGGATTTCGGGTAGTATTTTTAATCTGAAAAGCAGATAAGATGCAGGAGTTCTTGATGTCTTTTGGATTTTTCAGTTGCTCAGAAGGGTGCTTCCTCTGTCCTTTCCTGTGCCTTCCCCAGGGCACTTGGGATTTAATTTTCATTTCTAAATAAGTTAAAGCATTATAAATATTTTTGTGTAGTTCTTTGCAAAATAGAAACCCCTTATTTATTATATTTCAGCAAGACATGTAATGAATCATAAAAATTGCACATCATTGTAGCATGTTTCTCAACAACTTGTCCTCCAACATTGTTTTGCAGATGTGTTGCCCTTTGCAGCCTTGGTATTTGGATCTGTGAGGAGCTAGTTCATGAATCACATCATCCCCAGATCAAGGAAGCATTGAATGTGATTTGTGCTTCTTTAAAGGTGAGAAACTAGCACTTGTACGATGTATATTGCCTTTACATGTAAAGATACTTGCCTTTTCAAGGTCATGATCCCATTTTAGCATCCTTACTTCACAGTCTATTTTCAAACCTTACAAAAGACTGAAATCAGTTTAGTTGGTGGATCTCTGAACTCTGTCAAAGAGATCTTTACCCTTCTTCAAATTTGGAGGAAAATAATGTGCTGGGAAGTAAAATAGTGGATCCCTATCTTAATATATATCATTAGGCACTTCACTCTAACCTCTGCCCTTTGGAGCACAATAGTTTATCCATCATTCCAGCTTTCATAAACAATCATTGCAATTCAGGTTTCAGCAAAACCACTACTGGCTTTGATTTTGTCGAGCTATACCCCTTGCCACATCCTGGACTCAAGCTTCCAGCAGGGTTTTCTGCATCTGTCTATAACTAGATCTAGGAGCCTGTGGTGGATTAACCTGCTCACTCACTCCCCCTCCTCAACAGGACAGGGGGAGAAAACAGGATTAATAATCTTGTGGGTCAAGATGAAGATAGGGAGATTGCGTACCAGCTACCATCATGGGCAAAACAGGGGAAATTAGTTTAATATATTGCCAGTTAAAATAATTTGGGCAGTGAGAAACAAAGACAGAATTTAGAACATCTCTTTTCCTTGTCCTCCCTGTTTCCCAGGCTCAACTTCACCCCTTCATTCCCAACTCCTCTGCCTCCTCCTGTCACCTTCCAAGTATTGCAGAGGGGATGGGGAATGGGGAGTTATGATCAGTCCATAACAGTTCCTCTCTGCCACTTCTTCCTCCCTGTTCCAGTATGGGTCCTTCCACTGGCTGCAGTCCTTCAGGATAAGCCTGCTGCAGTGTGGGCTGTCTGTGGACTGCAGTTCCTTCAGGAAATACCCAGTGCTGCAGTGTGGGTTACTCCATAGCTAGTGTGGATATCTCCTCCAGCATGGTCTTTTACACAGGCTGCAGAGGAATCTCTGCTTCAGCACCCTGGAGCACCTCCTTCCCCTCCTCCTGCTCTGACCTTTGTGTTCACCTGCTTTTTCTTCTTCCTGTTTGTTTTTTCCTTCTCTGTGTGTGAAAACATATTTAAGAAAGCGCAAAAATACCAAAGACGCCACAGGCTTTTTCTTCTTCCTGTTTGTTTTTTCCTCTCTGTGTGGTATTTTTTCCGCTTTCTTAAATATGTTTTCACAAAGACGCCACACTTGGCACGTGGGCTCAGCTGTGTCCTTTGGTGGTTCTTCTGCAGGGGTGGCTGGAACCTGCTGTGTCTGGCAGGGGGCAGCCCCTAGCATCTTCTCATAGAGACCGCTCTGTAGCCTCTCCATTACCAAAACCTTGCCATGTACACCCAGAACACATCCATACAAAGGCTCTGGAGTACAGAAGTGTCAGAGTCTTTCATTCTCCAGCATTTGTGTCTCCTGTCTAGGCTAGCCCTGGATGTCAAGGGAAGTCACATTCTTCAGTAATTGGCATCCTGGGTTCCCCAGCTCTGATTAACAGTACTTGTAAAGCCTCCATGGTACATTGTTCTGACACATGCAAAAGGGAAAGCCTATAGGAGAGAGGAAACTGGAAGGCATTCTAGTTTTGTGAGCCATCTGCTGTCATATGCAAAAAGTCTGTCCCAAGCCAAGCTGCTGCGTTGTACTCTTTGGCTGCTAGACTGAGCAGAGCATCTAGTGCTAGAAGGGGACAGGGAAGAAAGCAGGAAGGTGACAAATACAAAAGCCAAGCAGAAGCTTCCCCAGGCTTCTCCTGCTTCTTGCTCACCTGCCCTCTTCTTGCTCCTACCAACCAAATCCCATTATCCTCCTATCCTCACTACATTCTGTGCCTGTTCACTTCTGAGTTTGAGAGCCATTGCACCATGCAGTATTGCTTTGCAGCCCTGGACAGATGTTTAGTGAGAAATGTAGAGTATTTATGCTGCACTCATGGAAGCACTGGAAGGTGTTTGATTTCCTGTGGCAAAGTGCTATTCTGTGGTCGTTCTTGACATTTCATTCAGGTCAGTACCTGATGGAAAAAGTCTGAATGCAAAGACAGGCCAGGAGTTGGCATCAACGTTTATATGAGTGAACTACCTGTTGAAAGGGAATAACGAGAATTCTAATTTTGCTGAAAAGTAAAGAGCACGTGTTTTTATGGCTATCATTAAAATTTATTTTCTGGGTTTTATGAAGCATGCTGTAACACTGGGTAACTTTATAGTTTTTCAGAAAGATTTAACTTTTCCTTTTTAATGAGAGTGGTGGGATGGCCCCAGCTAGCAGCTGAAGTCTCACCCAACCACCCACTCATTTGCCCACCCCCAGGAGAAGAGGGGAGAATGTAGGAAGAACAGCAGTGGGTCCCTGGCCCGTTCCCATGGAGGCCACCCCCACTATTTAAAATCTTCCCACCTACACTACAGTACAATGATTCTGAAACTAATTTGTAAGATAAAACTTTACAGTCTCTGGTAGTCACCATGTAATTCTGTATAAACACCTTCTCATTAAATTATTGAAATCTAGGATGATTTACTGTTTTGGTATTTGCTGTTTTGATTGAAGCTGTTAAACATAGCTCGGATGCACAGTGATTTTCACCTTGAAATGCAGTTTGCTCAGATACAGCTAGTTCATTGTGGTGCAATGCCTATAAAATGCTTCTGAATAGAAGAGATTTTGTGACATTTGTGTGCCTTTCCTTTTGTGAATGACAGTTTTCACTATTCTGAAACTAGTCTCACTGGATTTCAAGATACTGTGCTGGTGGTAATATATCAACAGTGTATTCCTTTAATCACCTCTGTTAAAAGGCTGCACTTTTTTGGCTTTTTTTTTTTTTTCCCCTTGATGAGTGTTTTTGTTTTCCTGCTCTTTGCAAATCTTTTTCCTATTTGCTCATATTTAATGGAATAATAATTAAAAACATTTTATTTTCTAGCATTTTGCAAACTTGCATGTTTATAAACAGTATCTTCAACTTCCTAAATATTTTCCAGTTTTTTGTGAACCTTTCTACATGCTCTTTGTTTACATCAAAATTCAATGAATAGTCTAGTCTTTCTGTATATATATGTTGATAAAAATTGTGGTGTGCACTTGTATACATGGCTTGTGTCATATGTTGTGAACTAACTATTCTTTTCTTTTCAGCAATGAAAAGTATCTTAGCAAATCAGCTGATCACATCCTGTGAAGCAGGATTTGAGTCTACATCTGAGAGGGGTAGCTGCAGGGCTTTTAGTATCAGACTGTAAATTGCAATTTCCTGTTTTGCAAAATCACATTTATCCTTTGCAGCTTCACTAATGCTCTCTTCCAGGATTTTCCGCTTGCTTTTTAATATCCCTTACCTAGTGCATTTCATCAAGTTCCTGTACAAGTTTGGTATTAGGCAAATCATGCTGTTTTTATCTTCTGCAATTTATTGAAGTTTGAACCATTTTTAATCCTAATATTCACTGTGATTTGTCTTTTTTTCTTTGATGTATTCATTAAACCAATTGCATCTAATTTTTGTTAAACAAATTACGTCTTGAATGTGAAGACAAAGATTTTATATTTCTACTTTGCTTTGCTTTGTGTTGGCAAAAGCATCCAGGGCATGTTGGCTTTTCTCCTGTCTGAGCAGTGGTATACATTCACATTAGAGTTTAATCATGAAATGAAAAGGTTATAAATATATCATGGGAGAAACAAATTAGCTCTAATTTGTTACTTAATCAATCTCCTGGCTTCCAAGTAGTCAGAGATGTGAACTCCCGTAATGGATTATTTTCTTATTTTCCAGAGAATTGGATGGATAGGAAGCTATAGTCCTATTCCAACTTACCAATAAGTACATTTGAGCAAATAACGTTGAATAGTTGTATTAGCAACAATTATATACCTATCTGTGAAATACAGAAGCATATTCAGAACTGCAGCCCAGCAGCTCACTCTGACTATAGCTAGTACTTCTCCCAGCAGTGTGGCGATACTGCTGTTATCTGCGTTAGCCTCTAATGAAGTCTGAGCACAAAGGATCCTAACCAGCCATCTAGACCCCTGCATCTCATGATCTTATTATGCTCCTCTCAAAAATGCTGCAGATACATCACAAAACCGTGTCGTACAGGCTTAGTTGAATGAGTGCTAAACACAGGTTATTTGCAAGTATGGACAAGGTTAAACTACTGATGTAACGTCCAGAAAGCAATGGACCCTTGCAAAGGTGAAAAGTATGGTAAGACTATCCTTCTGAGAAGAACACTGAGGTTTAGGTACCAGATAAAGTGCCAGTTCATTGAAAGCTTGCTTTTTTTTTCCTCTTATTGAGTAACTTTTAAAAAAGTATGTCCACAGTTACACTACTAAATATAAAATTATATCAAAGTATTGAATTCTTATGCTTTATAACACAGAGTGTTTTCCAGAGATAGAGAACAGCGGGTGAAATGCTTGTAACATTGCACAGCTGCCTTCATGCCACATCTGAAGGCTTTTGGAAAAGAAGTCAGAACAAAGCAGCTGACTTGAAAGGGGCGAATTGTTTTGATATCCTGCATAAACTCAGTGTTGCTGCCTGAGTTCAGGAAAATGTCCTTCCAGGACGCACAGGTCTGTTCTAAAGTGTCTGTGCATTTTTTGAATTGTGATATATTGACCATGCTGGAACAAATTTCTGAAGCAGATGAAGGGTTTGATCTGTTTGGGCCAATCCCTGTAGTCTTGATCAAAACTTCGTACCTGGTGCTCTTCCCATGAATAAGAAAATTTGAGAGCACAATATTTGAATGTTAGCCGTATTCATTACTTTATACCCCTCAGCCTTTCTGTGAAACTTACGTCTCCACTGACTTTTGTTCCCTTTCTTAAATTAAAAAAAAAAAAGTATCTTTAACCAGAGAACAGAGAGAGGTTAACTAATTTGCATAAACCAGCACTATAAATCATTCACTCGGCTTCATTTTAGACCCTGATGATCCTCTTTTTTAAAAAAATAAATAATAGGAAGAAAATGTTCTGTTTTTAAGTAGTGAACAGTTGATTATTCAGAGACTCTGAAAAGTAACTGGGCCTTTTTCTTTCTCTCTGTATTAAACTACTCTGGTTTGTCCACCCCTTTTGTTCTCTCCAGTGACTTTGGGTTTTTCCTGCAAGCTCGTAGGGATGTTTCCAGCAATGTGGATTTGATCTTAATTTCTGTAATCAAATTGTTATGCTTTCAGTTTTATTTAATCTTTTTTGGTTGTCACTCAAGTGTGAACATTAGAATCTGTAACCTGCTTACTGTGCTCCTACAGTGTACTTTCACAGCATGGAGAGAGGCTGTCTCATGAAGGATAAAAAATAACGGTGTTCTTGTTGTAACCTCTGGGAAGACTGGCAGACGTAAGATGTCTGCTATGTTTTTGTTAAAAGCCGACAATAAAGTGAAGCTGTGTCCACTGAGAAACACAAGGAAAGAGAGAATAAGAATTAACTGCCCTGCGTACTCTGGTTTCTTTCTCTGGCTGACTTGTAAGAGCCATTCGTAGTCTTTCTTTATGCTTACATAGATACCACAAAAAAATGTTAATTAAAGCTTCGTTCTCCATACTTTTGCTTATGCTTTTACTTTTTCATTTCAAGACCCTAAATGTAAAAAATGATAGATCTGCTTTGATAAGAAGCTGGCCCAGGACAGAGTTTTCTTACAGTGTATTTTCCACCTTTCAATTTGTGCCATTCAAAAATTTTATTCTGAAATCCTTACTTTTCTGCTCATGCTTCATTGCCCGGGCATTTCTGCTTTCTTAAAGCTTTTCTTATTTTTTTTAAGTTTTTGTGAGATATACCCTTCCCTGAAAGGTTAATAGAACTGAACTGATTAAGGAGAGAGTCTAAGAAGCCAAGAAATTAAATCTTAAGTATTTTTGCAACATAATTACCCTTTTCTGAGTTCAGAGGTAGACACTTAGCCACCTTGCAGCACACACCTGTGACAGCTTCACTGCTAAGTAAAGTGAGGTTAAAACATATAAGCTACTTTTTAATTCTTTTAATAATGCAGGAATTCTCATGTAATTCATTTTTGTTGAAGAAACAGAATAGGATTTTTCATTATTAAAGCATGAGTTCCTAATTGTTTTACGAGTGATTTGAGTTTCATCATTAATATAGTTTGGAATATTTCTTTTCAGTAAAGATAGAGTGTTCTCTTGAATAAAAGTTTATTTGAAATTCTTGCCTTGGCGCTATTGCATGTAATTTTTTCTTCTGTGTAGTTTCTGCTGTCTTATGAAGTCTGCAGTTTTGCTGTGCTAATAACCAATTTTACTCAGATTTGTAGGATTTTCATGTCCTAAATGAATAAAACTCACTTGCAAAATGTACTTTGTGCTTCTTGTTTAGTGCACAGCTTAGTTGTTTCAAGGCAAGTGAAATTACAGAAGAAGCCTCAATTATGTGTCCTGTGCATTAACAATTTAGGGAAACTTATCCCTGGCTCTTCATTTCTTTGTTTTCCCACTTAGGAATATAGGGCAGTGTCTGCATCCACTCCCAAGGCCAGGGACTAATTGTACAAATGTATTCACTTTTGCTTTGACCAACACAGTAACTTAAACGTTTTGGTAACTGTTGAAGGCAGGCTCCAGTGCAGCAACGTTCTCCTGCCTTTAAAAGGTAACTGAGAAAAGAAGAATTAAGCACAGAAGCCAAGGTGCATTTATTTTCGTTCAGACAAGTGCTGTCTGCAGTCACTAAAACACAGAACCATCAGTCTTGCTACTAGTACTGTGTCTTGCATTTTGGATACACAACTGTTCACCTGCTTTGGTTCTCAATGGAGACCTATGATTTCATAATTGGATCCTTGTTTTTTGCAGTGATGCATTAATGTTAATAATCATTAGGATAAGAAGAAATGAATTTGTTCTTCCTGGCTTCATGATACTGTACTAACCAGTCTGAAGTTAGTTAGGAGAGTCCTCTTCTCTTTCCGTCATTGCGTGCAACTCCCTGCTTGTCTGTCCCAAACCTTTGATGTTAACTGCTGACATTTGGTTATGACTATAAAATAATTCCTTTTAAATTTTGTAAAATTTAATTCTGTCCTCTGATAAATAGGTGCATAAGGAAATATATGTATAAAACCATCAATGAAATTCCTTACCACCTAATGTACTGTTATGTGAAATCATGTAGTCATTGCTACTGTGCTGTATTCTCTTTTCTAGTTTCCAAATAAAACAGTAGCCCAAGTTGCCTGCAGTATGCTGAACATGCTGATACATTATGTACATAGACTTCAAGTGTATCAAGCTGATTCACCTTTAAGAATCATTCAAGTAAGTGATTTTTTTTGAAATTTGAAATTTTTAATTACTTTAAATGCAACAGTAAAATTGAAATTAATAAAATTAAAATACCAGAATATTGACAAGTATGTTTCACAAAACATTGAATTAGTATAAGCGTAATCTTGCTGAACATCAACAGTAGGGCTTCACATCACACTTACTTCCTGACTCCAATATTAATATGTAAAATTGCAGTATCATGCTTTTTTTTTCTCAGATACAACTATGTGATTATTTGCATGAGCATGTTGCCAATAAAGTCTAATTTTTTAAAATATTATCTTCAAATATGTTTAAGTTTAGTGAGAAAGTGATTACTTAAAATATGGATCTGCAGTTGTATTTTCCATATATATATGCAAAACACATTGCATTAAAGTGTTTTAGTATAAAGCAAAAATAATTTTTTTGAATATGGTTTAAATAACAAGTAGACTATGGCCTTTGAGAGTCTGAACCACAGAGAAAAGATAAAGGTCTCCCAGGTAACCGGAAAGAGAGTTGCATGGAAGCTTCTTAAGAGGTGTAGCAAGCACTTTGCTGCTCCTCTGCAGTCATATTGTTGATTAAGTAGAGACAGGGTTTTTAGAAATTCTAGTAGTTCTAAGAAATAATGGAGCTCAAATAGCGCCATACGCAAACCCATATGAGGCTCCTTTCCTGCATCGTACAAGTGTGTTGAACCAAGTTCTTTTCCTGCCTGAATATTTGAAGTGACTGTGTAATTTAATTGTCCATAATACACCGATGTCAGTCAAGCGGAACGTATTCCTCCAATGTCCTCTGTAAAATTCCATTAAAAGGATTTTATTGTTTTTAAAAAAGTGGCAAAGAATACTGTAATTTGTCTCAATAACTTTAGTAGAATTTAACTGTGTATCCAGTATTGTGTCATACTTACCTGCTTAAAAATTTGTTTTAATCTTAAATATTTAAATTGTATTCTTAAAGAAACTATGCTATATTTCCCGCAGATTCTGATAGCAACTATTACCCATCTGCTACCTAGCACAGAAGCTTCCTCTTATGAACAAGACAAGAGGGTAAACATTTTTCCTTTCTTTTTAATGTGTCAATTTAATTGCACAGGTGTGTGACATAGCATTGTTACAAAATTTAAGCTGTGCCTTAAAGTAGGAATTCAGCTCTTTAAGTTAACACAGTATAATATTCTTGAATTCCAACAATATTATTTATACAAGTGAATTTCTGTAGTTTCTGTGGGAAAATATGCATTTAAAATTGAGATTGATTGTTTTCGATAATTAGAAGGTCTTTTTTCCTTATCCTCAGTGAATTTACAAGCAAAGAAAGTAATGTAGACTTTTGAAACTTGTCTTAGAGTGAAAATACATTCTCAACTTGTAGAGAATACCTTTCAGAATATTTATAGGATTATAATTTTACTATTGTAAGTACATTCTTGAGCAAGAGAGCCTGTAATCATCAGATGAATTTGATTGTTGTCATCCTTCAAAACAATTGCTGTATTTTTGTATTTTCAGTGGGCCTGTGTCACCTTGCAACGATGGGCTCTTTCTTCACCTGATACTCACAGTAGTACTTTCTGCCACCTCAAGGCTCTCTCCTGAATTATTTGGCTTTGCTTTATGAGTGTGGGACACGGTGGCCGTTTAAACTTGGGCACTTTGGTGCAGTTTGTGGCTGGCGGTGCTGTTGTTTTGGCCCAGCCATTCCCGCGGGAGCTGGCATTTGCGGCAGGCTCGTTTTGGGCTCCAGAGCTCCATTTTGCCTCTCCTCTCTGCTTGCCAGGAGGCAGTGGCTGTTGTAGACTACAGCAGTATGCCAAGCTAGCTGCCTTTCCACTTGAGGTTTTTCCCGTAAATCAATGTTTCCCTGTGAACTAATGCCGATCATTGTATGTCAAATATCCTATAAAAAATTGGCTTACCTACTTGACAAACTTAGTCCTAGTGGGTTTCTTAAAAGTTACTCTTACTCAGAGCCCTTCATCATTAGGTTTATTATATGGTGCCTCTGAGGCACAAACTTGTATTATGTGAAATGAGTAAAATGTTCATATATTGTTTATTAGCAAATTAGTTAAGCGGATTTTCCTTGAAATACTTTTCTTTAGCTTGGGAAATACTTTAGAGTATCTTGCAGCTATTTATCTGAATTGTTTCCTTGTCCACAGCTAAATTTAAAAAATTGACAATAATTATTTGAAGCCAGTAAGTTATTAATAATTTGGTGTGTATGTGTATCTTAATCTAATTCTGTTCTCCAGTCTTTAAAAACATCCCCTAGAGGGAGTCGGTTCTTTTGCTGACTCAGTAGTCTACAATATAGAAAGCAGTTGGATTTCTTTCAGATGATGCGTAAGGTTATTGACATGTTGTAAAGGAAAGCACTAAATGCAGCTGAAATAGTTGAGTTTTGTGTAATCCTTGATTCAGAATGGTGCGCCAGCCTTAATTTGTGGCTGTATAATATGTCGTTTTAGAAACAGCACCCTACAAATCAGTTTTGGAAAATGACAGGTATCCTCTAAAGTACAGTATCTGCTCACAGACTTGCCATGATTAGAAACTGTTGTATGGATGATTTTTGTTAAATATCTCAGTAGACAAAGTTTTTACTAATACTGTAGGTTTTGAAAATACAGTGGCTTTTAAATAAGTGTGATCTGCCATTACTAGAGGAGGCTGACTCTACTGAATTGAGAAAAGAAAGTAAAACAGAGAAGTAAAATACAGTGATAAATGTGAAGTAGCAGGTGCTGGTTTAATTGATTTGTGATTGAAAGTGTTTGTTCCAGTTGGTGGTTTCTTTACTTCTGTGCTTATTGGATTGGATAATGGCCCTGCCATTAAAGACTTTGCTGCGGCCTCTTCACACTACAGGAACAGAAAATGATAAGACTGAGAGATCCGTTCTTAATTGTATATATAAGGTACATGTTTCTTCTTAAATGGGAATTTCTATGTTTGGACATAGTGTCAGTTTCATGGAAATGGCGACAGAACTCTTTTGTAAGCTGACCTTCATTCCACTGCTGAAATGTGGAGTGCTGTCTTGGTTCTTCTATGTTTTACTGTAGCTGCTCGATCATTGGTATATTTGAAATTATTAATTTCAATTTATATTTTGTGATGTTTAACCTAGTTACTTTTTGTATGTCATACTGATAGCAGACGTTTGTGTTGTGTAAGACCAGCTACACATTTCACACAGACGAGGAAGTAGCTTTTTTGTACCAAATAATTTTATTTAGCAATAAGCAAAGTAAAATGCATCAAGTTATAATTGCTATCTGTAGGGACACAGAACAAAGATAGTTGTTTTGGGTGTGGTTTTGGTTTTGTTTTTTGGGGTTTTTTTGGTTTTAGGGCTTTTTGGCAAGGGAAGGGAATTAAAACCTCCAGTAGCTTAGACCTAGCATATGTAATTAAAGAAGACAGGAGATCTAAAAATAAAGGCAGCTTAGTGATTTGATTTAAGTTCTGTTTCTTATTTCTTTATTGTTAAATTCCACTTCAGTGCAGACACTGTTTTAACAGTTTTCTTTGCAGACCAGAGTGTGCTTCTGTAAAAATTAAGCATCTAAAGTTTTCCAACATTTTGTCCTGCCTACCTGGTTCTAACAGATCAATTAAAAAATGTAAATAAAAAGAAACTTAATTTCTTATAAAATTATCAAGTAGAAATTTCAGTAGTTAATGTCATGGAATTCTGTTTTTGTTCTAGGTTCTGCATGGATGTGTCTATGGGTCTCAGTGTTTTAGCAACCCTAAATATTTTCCTCTAAGCCTTTCTGATTTGGCATGTGTGGATTATGATCCTTTTATGCATTTAGAAAGCTTGAAGGAACCAGAACCACTACATTCTCCAGACTCTGAGAGGTCTTCTAAACTTCAGCCAGTCACTGAAGGTTTGTCAAATTGCCTAAATACCTTTTATTTCAAAAAGATTTTTATCTTGGTTTCCAGTATTGAAGTGTTTGTCTAAAGCATAAGTTTTAAATTATACCTGGGCACTAGGTAAGGACCGTTAGTATGGAATGAGCCAACATGATTTTGAGCAATTACTGTTTGATTAACTGAAATAAGTCTCTTCTAAACAACATGAAGATCAATTTGATATAGATTCTTCTGTGCTCTGTGTATCAGCAGAAAGTGTTAAGTACTGCAACATGGATAAATGTTGCTTTTTCATTTTACTTTCAGTAAGTTAATTTATTTTTTCCTTAATTTTGCTGCTTTCTCTAAGAATATTTTTTTTTCCCTGTCTGATCTTGCAATATTGAAAGCTTTCTGTGAATTTTTTTAGCCTGTCATAATTTGTGGTCAATCTGTTTACACTGGTTAAAACCACAGAGTTATGTAAAAGAAAGAAAATTTTTGTCTTCTGCTTAGAACCTTAAGAGACCCAGGAATGAACATTTTCTTCAGAACTCGAAAATAAAGACCTCAAGAAACTAAGCTACAGAGGAGTAGCATAGATTATGTGGTGTATCTAGTAAATATCAAATAGCTACATAGGGAAGAAAATTGAAAAAGATGAGATTAATACTGATACCAGAAACTCTGTGTAGTGCTATTCTCCCTCCATATTAAGTTGTTCCATTTAGGCTTCCTTAAAGGTATTGAGAACCAGATAAATGCAGAAGCTCTTTGTAGCAGCTGTGTGCTAACAGCAGGTGATTTTGTGGTCTGTAGTGACTACGTGCTGTTTTTTATGTAGAGAAAATGGCTAATCATTGTGCCCTTGTCTAAGGCATGCTTCATCATCCTCAAGTACTTTTTTGGCCAAAGAATTCTAAACATAGAGCTGTCCCCTAATAAGCTCAGTATTGGATTGAACAAGTCTGATTTGAGAACTATTGGCAGGAGGAGCTGTAATTATTAAATTTACTGAAGAATGAAGCAAGGTACTATAGTTGGCTTTTTGTCAAATGGCTGTGGTCTTATTAGTAAAAAGTAATCATCTGCTGGGTCAGAATGAAAGAGGCTTCGAAGGATTCATTCTGTCCTAATTACAGTCTCACCTATACGTATTATATAAAGCTAATATTTAAAGCATTTGCCAAAATTAACTTCCACTGCATGTTCTATTACAGTGTGGTGAATTGTAGTAGCTTTTTATGCCTGGCATCTTTTGTATTCTGTAATAATCTGTAATTATGGGTTAGCAGCAAATGCTGTGTGGCTTGTTTAATCTGACAATCTGAAAAGACAACCCTGAATAGATTTCTCTTTAAATGAATGTAGTTGCACAAAGCCTTGGCATTGATATCTCCGTTTTGCATTTCCATACGTGGTCTTTTATGATTTCTTGTTAAGTTTCTAAATAAAAGTAATTTCAGATGTTCCTTTTATCTCTCCAGATAAATTAAGGAAGCCCCATATATTTTTAAAGTTTCAGGGCTCTGGAATTGAGAGTCAGATTGTGAAATTTAATTGCCAAACTGCAGCATTATAGTGCAACGCTGGTCCTGCAACCCTGGCACTTCTAGTCCACATTGCCAGGCAGAGAATAAAACTGGCAGTGCTTAACTGATAGCACAGCATCTGTTCTCCCTGGCATTATTGGAGGAGTGAGAGGAGTAAAGTTAGTGGATAAGATCAAGACAGGGGGTTAATTAGTGTAAACTAGCAGCAGAGCACTGTGGCAATGGGTCAACCTCTTTTTTCATAGAGTAAAAGTGCTATCTTGATCTCTTTTTTGAAGGAGTGGAAATAAGCAGGATGGCAGTTTGGGGGAAATCAGGGAAGTTCTGCAAAGGTGGGATGGGGGTTGCTAGACTCTTTCCTTGGGTCACAAGCAAAGCTGAAAGTACTGAAATGCCAGAATTCTTAAGACAGGGTGCTTTTGATCAGTTTACAGAGTATGGCAATGACATCTATTAATGCTTCCCATTGTTCAAGGTCAGATCCATCACAAGTTTTGTAGACACTTGTCCACAGTATGGTGTGGTATGAGATCATGAAGATATGGGACTTTCAGTGATACATCGGTGCAGTGGGGACAGGACCTACTGAGAAGCTGGAGCAAGCTCTGCAATAAACAGCAGGGCAAAGATTTGGTAAATCCTCTAGAAACAAGCAATGTGGGGAGAGAAAAGGACTATTCCCCTCTCTGTTTCAGTAACTTTCCAAATGCTGTCTCTCACAATCCTCTCACTAGGATTATCTGTGAAAAGGTCTTTGTCCTCCTGTCGGTAGGTTTCAGGTAAAGTGGTAGATTGCGGTATAAGGTACACAAAGAATAATTTTGAAATTAATTTTTAAGTATATTAAAGTGTAATATTTAAACCAGAACAAACTTTTAGCAGCTGATGATAAAGACATGAGTAGGAAGCTATTCTTGCATCATCAGAACTTGCAGGCAGCATCTAAGGAATCACAGGGCTAGTCTTCATGAAGGCTGATGAACTGTTCCTCTAGCCAGTATCAACAACAGCTTCCTCTAGGTACCGTACACATATACAAGTGCTGCCTGTGCTAATGAACTGCACCTAACTAGCCTGGATCCAGTGTCACCCTGACAGAGGTATACTTTCTCCAAGGATAGTCCAGCATTATAGGCACTCACTATGCCGTTTAGATGTGCAAAAGCTAACTTGGGCTGCATTATGCTGTGTTCTGCTTACCTGCTTCTGATCTTTTACTAGTCATCACAGACCATGAGCACATATGAGGGAGAACTAAACCAGAACCTCACCTTCAAAGCTTTTTTGTTGCTTATATTAAATGATGCAAACATTCAGGAAAAACTAAAATTGGGGGGTTTTGTGACGGCTGTATTGATGGGGAAGCTGGTTACATGAAAATATTTAGCATTAAACAAAAAGTGCTGTACCTCTTCTAACATTAATAGATAGCAAAATCAAGCTATTAAATAGAGTCTAGTTGTAAGGAAATAATATTTTATGGGATTTCTCTTGCAGTTATAGGCCAAAAACATTTTAAAACCTGTTCTTCGTAGATCACAGATCTTTTAGAGATAGTTGTGATTGGAATGTAGTTATATTGCATAGATACAGTGGTCCATCAATTATTGATTTCATGGATTTTCCTCCATTTATCATATTTCTCCAAACATATTTTAAATTCTTTTGCATAGATCGATCATATTTCCTAATACAGTTCAATTTCTGAAAAAAAGTTTAGTCTTAGCTTTTGAAAAATAGAAACATGAAGTACTTCTTTTTAAGTCTTTGCTGTTTGCCTTTATAGTGTCTTTTACTTACAAGGAGACAAAAAATACACTGTTTAAAAAACACTTTATACGTGGTGCATCCAGATTGGCATAGTTTGTGTTTTGTGAGGGATATTCTAGAGATGAGTTCTCTGTAACCACATCTCTCTATATCTGAAGCTTAAAAATAGAAAAGAGTGAGACTTCCTTAAGCTAATGTAAAATACGGGTAGCTAAGCTAAGCTGAACTCTCTTAGGCTCTCTGTATATGTAATGGAGAAAGAGAAGAGTTTCCAGAGAGCGATTCATCCCATTTCTCCAATTTGGGCTTCTAACTGAAATTAATCAGTCTGTATGGGTGCATCATTCTTTATATAGCTAAAAGGGTGAGAAGAGTTAAATTCTGCTCTTAGTCATTACTTTTTCCTTCTGCTACATAAGTAGTTTTTTAGAAGCTGATCAACCAATGTTGAATTAAAGAGTTAACAACATATCTTAAGGAAATTCAGAAATCCTCCATTCATGCTACGGATACAAATTAGTGGTGATGGACCTTCAGCCTTTCCACAAAAGAGGTAATTTCAGGGACTGAGAAAAATAGCCAATATAACATGCTTGTAGTAAATGACAAAGTGATCACATACACATATAAATTACATTGCCTAAGCAAAGGACTGTACCACTGTAAAAAGAGCAGAGATGGGTTCACTCAGGAAGACAGGTTGTCAAAGCAGCCAGCTATACTGCTTTAACTTGTAATCATATGGCTTATTTTGTAGAATTTGTGGTAAAGCTTGTGTTATTGCATATTTTGATCTGGCCTCCAGAAACAAAGAGCATGGTTTAGATACGCATTTGAAGAGTTCTAATATATTGAATGTCCAGTTGTTCCTGATTGAGGAGATGTGCTTCTAGGAACAAATTATTAATATGTATCCTTTAAGATGCAAATTTAATTTAAAGTTATCGTAGTTTCAAAAAGCATTACTGGGTTTAGGTTTGGGGTTTTCTTTGCAAAGGGAAGCCATCACCAAAGTATGATTTGCTGTTTGGCAAAAATGTTTCAAGATTGCTTTATTTTATTTCAACATAACAGCTTACGTCTTGCAGTTTGCTTTGCAGTATGCTTCTCTTAATACTTCTGATTTAAGTTTTCTGTATCATTTTTAGATCAACAATATTCTGGGAGGAGACTGAGAAGTATTTTTCTCATTTCATGAAAGAGGCAATGACAGATTTATGTCCCAATTCTTTCATTTTTTTATTTTAATTCAAGAGTAAAATTTTCAGTGAAAGATTGTGGTAGGACTGGGAATGGACCTTCCAAATTTAAATTTGATGTTCCTCTCTTTGTATCATTGCATCACCTTTCTTTTCCATATGTCCTACTTTGGAGGGAGGAAATTCATGCACACAGGCACAATACAACCATGGTCAGGTTTGAGATCTTTAGGGTTTGCCACAAAACGGTAATAGTAATAACTTAAACGCTAACAGGTTCCCCTCATTTCTTCAGGTTTTTCAGCAAAACTTAAATTAAGGCATTTAGCCTACACAGTGTGAGACTTCAGGTGGTGGGGAAGCTCACACATCTTTGCTCCTAGGAACCTGAGAACCTGTGTAGTGCCTAGTGCTGAACACTTGGCATAAATACCCTGACAAAGATGAGCCAGCCTCTGCTTTGTCCAGGTGCTGGTTAGTACTGCAGTGATAAATTACTCTTCAAGCATCCAACTTGTTGTCTCTTTTTCTTGTATACACTTGCTCACAGTTCCTTCTTATATTTCAGCAGATGGCACTATAACTTAATTTCCCTGTATGCTATCAATATCTGGACATTTAATTCAACTTCACCGAATGTTTTTGTATTTGTAAATTTTTAAACCTCAAGAATGTTGCAAGTAATGGACCTCCAAGACAGCTGGAGAGGGTCTTCTTACAAGTGCATGTAGTGACAGAATGAGGAGTAATGGCTGTAAACTGAAAAACTGTAGTATAAACATAAAGAAATTCCTTTTGTGAATTTAGATAAGGTTGCATGCAAGTGGAAGGTATGCAACAAAGAAGGAGGTGGCAAAACCATACTGAAATACTAGTGCATCTCACAAGATGAATTTCACATAAGATAGGCCCAGTTAACTTCTCTTTCTCCCTCCCAAGTTTTTCCAACCTGAAACTTCTTAAAATGCAGTTGGGGGCATGAGATCTGGTTTTTTGTAAATTTTGCTACTGTTAGATTCTGTTCAGTATAGATAGCCCAGTCTTTGATTCGGTACTTCAAAATCATCCAGTATTATTCTCAACCTAACCTACAGCTATATGCTCTCTGGGGAAATTAAGATGGATTAGAGGTTTTGTGCATTTAAGTTCCTTTGTTTTTCACAATATAATGATGTCTATAAATATAAAAATTCATTGCAGTTGGAAATAGACTTCTTACAATACAATTATGTTCTCTACTTCATCAGCAATTTAAGATTTATTTTCACTAGATTAAGAAATTGTGGATTTTAGAAGAACCATGCTGATTACAAGGTTATGGTGAAGAAGGTATGGTAGGCTGTAAAATAGTTAAGATGCTTCTTCAACTATCTTATGCTTTTTCATGCTATTTATATGTGAGACCGGTGTTCATCAAAATACATATTTTTTCATTACTGAGTTGCTTGTATCCTAGCGATGCTCATCCTCTGTTTAAAACTCATGAAGGAGACCAAAAGAAATGTACAAATCCCAGTGTTGTTTTCTGAACACATCTTTTAAAACCTATGTTCTTTTTCTTGCAGTGAAAACTCACATGCAACAAGGATTAATTTCAGTTGCTGCCCGTACTGTGATAACACATCTAGTCAACCACTTAGGCCACTATCCTATGAGTGGAGGTCCTGCTATGCTAACCAGTCAAGTGTGTGAAAACAATGACAATCCATACAGCGAAAGTCCTGAACTTTCTCCTGAACTTTTTGAGAACCCAAACCTTCAGTTCTTTGTGTTAAACAATACTTCCCTGGTGTCTTGCATACAAATCCAAGCAGAAGACGACATGCCTGGGGGAGGACTGTCTGCTGGACTTGCATCTGCTAATTCAAATGTTAGAATTATAGTGCGTGATCTATCTGGCAAGTACTCATGGGATTCAGCCATTTTGTATGGACCATCATCTTTATGTGGATCTTCACAACAAACGTCTTTTGCACTTTCATTATCTCAGCAAGATAAACCAGAAGATGCTCTTTCATCTTTTGAGCATGTGGAGGATGTATCTGCAAGGGATGGAATTACACTCCAAGTAAAAAGGAAATTTAGAGACACTGTACCAACATGGGATACCATTAGGGATGAAGAAGATGCCCTTGATGAGCTCCTGCAGTATTTAGGTGTTACAAGCCCTGAATGCTTACAGAGAACTGGTGTCTCACTCAACATCCCTGCTCCTCAACCAGTCTGCATCTCAGAGAAGCAGGAGAATGATGTCATCAATGCAATTCTCAAACAGCACACAGAAGAGAGGGAGTTTGTTGAAAAACATTTCAATGATTTGAATATGAGGGCTATGGAGCAGGATGAGCCAACCTCACAAAAGCCCCAATCAGCATTTTACTACTGCAGATTACTTCTCAGTATACTGGGAATGAATTCTTGGGATAAAAGGTAAGAAGAAAAGACTCGCCATTTAAGAACTTTCTTTTAAGGAGTTGTGCTATTCTTACCATGTAATAGTAGTTGATCATAGAGTAGGTTAGGCCAAAAATACTCCAGACCAGCCAACAGAAGAGGAGAGGGGATGTGCAACTAAGGGGAAAATAGCAATTTTCTTCTGCATTTGAACCTGTCATTTAGAGAGACAGAAAGGGGGAACCTGTTACGTTTATTGCTATTTATATTCTTTCCTTAAAACAGTGCTGGAAGGCAAATGGAAGGAATGATAACTTTTCTAATAATCCTTTCACTAAGTGTACTAAGATATACTACCATGGGTAAAGAAGGCAGATTTTTTTATTTCTTTGCTTCCCGTGTATGTTCCTGCAAAAATCATTACCTTTCTGTGGCCGAGTGAGACTCCAAATGTGTCATATTCTCAGCTGTTGTGTTGCTGGACAGTGTCCTGCAGCTTTGCCTGCTAAGAGCATGTTTGGATGCAGCCTCAAAGCATTGCAACTGTGTTAGCTAACTAGAAAGATGTTTCCTTTACTATTTATTTCAACATTGGCAATGTTTGGGTATTGTTTAGAACAACAGGAGACAAGCCATGTTCAGTTACAAAAGTAACGTCTCTGTTTACTTTTGTTTTTGTTTGGATGTGGTTAGGTGTATATCTGCATATGCATGCAGGTATGTACAGATATTAGCATCCTAGAATTTAAAGGTCTTTCTGAAATGTTCTTTTGCCATAACTGTCAAATTCCATACTAGAGGCATTGAATTATTTTCTTACAATGAAGGGAAATGGATATTCTGTAAAACAAAAATAATATCACTGAGATATCACTGGAATCAGACAAAATTTTGATGTTATAACACTTCTTATTTGGATCTTTCATTCCTCAAGGCCGTCTGGTTTTGAACAGTACTGCTCTTAAACTCATTCCACTGTGTCTTATGGGAAACATCTTCAGAGTATAAAATAGTATAAAAGAAATGAAAAGTGCCTTTCTTGCTTTAACATATTGTTTTGTTTTTTCTTTAAATTGTTACAGCTGGCTGGGTGACCAGTGAGCTATGTTCTGCGCTCCTGCAATTCAGAACAGCAGAAGCTGTGTGTCAGTGCACTAGCTCCCTGGGACAGTACATTGTGGGAGTGTCTTTTGTCACAAAGCACATATATTTTGGCCTAGTAAAGTGTGCAGGTTATGTATGCATCAAAGTGAGTTCAGTCTGTTCCTCTGTAGCAAAGAGATGGATTTCAGTTGCATCCAATAGGCTGACAGAAAAAAGAGGAAAGAAGTAAAGGTTGTTCTCAGGACTATAATGGATATAGAAGATTTCCTGGAATAAAAAAGTTTTATGTATATTTAAAAACATATATCTTAATATATTATATTAAGATATTAATAGTCCTTTATAAAAGAAAGGACTATTGAAAAGGCAAAAGCATTTGCTGACTGTTCTTCCATGGACCTGGAAATGTTCTTGTACCGTTCTTGTACTGTTCTGTATCCATTAGTGAACCAGTGATAAGAGAGTTACAAATTTCTCTCTTTAGAAGGAGCTTTCATCTCCTGAAGAAAAATGAGAAGTTACTTCGAGAACTCAGAAATTTGGACTCAAGACAATGGTAAATTCTTTTAATGGGCACCAACTTATTTAAGTGTGCATGTACTTAAATGGCTCTAATTTGCTTAGATGTCAGAATCAAACTTTTAAAAAATTGTTTTGTAAATTATTCGTGCATTTTGCACTGTATTGTTGTTATTGGTGTTATATTGAAGTTACATTGGTGTTCTTTGTAGATTGAAACTCTGCAAGTAGAGTATAATGAGATAGAACAAACTCCAAAATAACTTAAAATTATGAACATCTGTATGTACGACATGGAATAGTTTTAAAACTTTGCTATATCAAAGTTTTAATAAAGATATTTGATAAATCACATTGTTAGCTTCAGCTAATTGTTTATATGTTTTCTAGTACTGTTAGTTGAAGAGATAGAATTCTAGTTGGAGTTGCAGCACAGAATTAAAAAGTTTGGGTTGTTTTTGTAGAAGTTGAAATAAAATCCAGCAGAGGCTTTAGAAGTGTGAGAAACCACTTTCAGTTGCTCCAGTGTCTGCTTAACAGCAAGCCGCGAACAGAAGACATTGCTGTAGTACGTAAAGATTCTTCATTCATCTGCATAAGCTGCATTTGCCCCAGCATTCCCAGGACACTGTCTGTAATGCCTGTTACAGGTCTAGCTCATTTCAGAAGCCCAGCTATTCTATTAGCAATTGGTACTGCCAGCACCATCCTACATCTTAGAAGTGATGAAAAGGCTAAATGCTCTTCATGTATGGCAAAACTTTAGGCTCTAGAGAAGACCAGACTAGAAAAGACAGAATAGGAATATGGAAATAGAGAATATAGAAATAAAGAACACCATATAGTTGTGCTTTACTTCCACTGTTTTTTTGGATGTTTTAAAAGCCATGCTCTGTGTGTTGTGCTTGAGTATTTTGGTTTCATGTTTTGGTAAAGGCACTGTTATGCAATAACCGTTCTCTGTTCTGCAGCCGAGAGACACACAAGATTGCAGTGTTTTATGTTGCTGAGGGACAAGAAGATAAACACTCCATTCTTACTAATACTGGGGGAAGTCAAGCCTATGAGGATTTTGTAGCTGGTCTTGGCTGGGAGGTATTTACTAAAATGTTTTTATCGTAAGTCTGTTTACAGAAAAATTACAGATCCTTTTAAATATTGTAAGCCTTTGGCTCATTAGCATTACTCACAAGTACTGAAGTACTGTTTTGCAAATAGGATGTATGGAAGAAGTCTGGTTTTAATTTCATTAGCAATATTGGCTATTTAATTCTAAGCTCTTTCAATTTAAGAAAGTTTTTGCAAGAAGAGGTGATTCTTTAATGTGCAGTCATGTACTTGGCTTTCATGGACTGATTAGGAGGGATCTTGATTTCCTTGTAGGCCTGTAAAGTGTTAAGTCCTTTGAAATTTGAGATTTGCTCAAATTTGGGAATCCAAAAAATACAAATGTGAGCTTCTCTTATGCTCCCTTCTTCCAGCCTTCCACTTCAGGCATTTATCTTTCCACTCACTCCGCTCCATGTCTCTTCCAGCAGTCAGAAATACTGCAGTGTACCCCACCATCTCTACAGACCTGAAACTCTTTAGTCACTAGTTAGATACTGTTACAAGGATTTCCTTTTTTGCATCCTTTCTTTCTGACCACCCAGGATTAACTGCCATTGTAAAGTTCAACTTGGCACTGTTGCACAGGAATCACTCCTGCTCCTGGCTGGCTGCATAAGAATTTGCAGGTTTTCTGTTCTTGTGACTTGTGTTCATCAGGAGTGTCCCATCGTATCTCTTATTTCTTACTCTTTAGGTGTATCAGAGCACTACTAGATTAGCTGTGTGGATAATGGCTCTGACTTTTCCACAGGAGCAGAGGAAAACTGCTAGAAGTCTGCTGACTGTGACACACATAGATGTTTATTTCTCACATTCCTGATTCTTCAGGAGAAAAAAAAACATTAGTGTCTTCAAATATCCTTCTTTAGTGGGTTAATTCTCTTAGCCTTTATTAGCTAGATGAAAGAGTTGCCAATTTGGGTTAATATTCTGTGATGAGACATGTAATATTTTAACCTTTATTAACAGAAAAGCAAATATATCCCATGTGGGCAGAGATTAAATGTATACACGTCTGAGATACAGCTTTCTATAGGCACTGTTGTAAAAGTGAAATAGCACATTAAACTTGCCTATTTATTTCAGTGCCAAACTATTTCCCATAGAACTAAGACTTACAAACTGATTTACGAATTTACAGTTAGTTTCCTGTGACTTTTTTTCATATTCACAGAATGAAAATTTCTCAAGAAATATATGAAAGGTAACGAGATTTTAAAATTGTCTGGCTCTCACACAGGGTTTCTTCAGAGCTCAGGTCAAGTCTGATGTATCACAGAATATAAAAAAATTCAAAAAGCACATGTAAGTGACTACAGTCAACTGATCAGGGAATAATGTAGTAAATATTAATTTACACAAGCTTTCCTTTTCTCTAACCTCATCTTCCCGACAGCATCTGTGGTGACTGTGAAATACAGAATGCCGCTGCATTGCAGTTGATTTCCACTCTAGTCAGTGAGTCTGAGCAATTTTAGAAAAGCATGACTGTACTGTTGTGAAAAGGATCTTCACTTCTAAAAATTCAGTTGAAAGTGGATCTTAAATTGTGAAGTATTTTAAACCTGATAACTTTATTTTCTTCTAAAGCTTCCTGGGCTTTATTTCTAGGTAAATCTCACAAACCATTGTGGCTTCATGGGAGGACTGCAAAAAAACAAAAGCACTGGATTGACCACTCCATATTTTGCTACCTCAACAGTAGAAGTAATATTCCATGTGTCAACAAGAATGCCTTCCGATTCAGATGACTCTTTAACAAAAAAAGTAGGTGTTTATGAATAACAGATTTTCTTTTGATAATAAACCCAGAGAAATTGGAGTCAAAGAAAATCCAGTACCTCTTCTAAAAAAAACAGAAAATGTTGTAACACCTTTACCTGCTAATAGTATTTTACTGAAATAGGTTAAGCCATATAAATTATTTTCTACCAATTTCTAATTTTGTCATACTGGAGATTTTTGCCATCATTGCAGCTGCTGGCAGGATCACATGTATAGTGGTGAAAAATGCCAGGAGGTAATGATTTGTGTAGAAGAAAAAGCATTATATCTCAATGATGTTTTGGTACTTTGAGACTTTAAATGACAAGTAATAAATACATGGCAAGTACTTTCTAAGATGACTTTTTATTCACTTAAGAGTCACGTCCTGGCTATTAACATAACTTGCCCTTTAAAAAAATTAAACATTTAAAGAATTCAACAATTTTTATTGTATATAAGGTGTTTTATCTTGGAGCAGGCACAGATGCTCAACAGTGATATGATCTTTCACAGCCATTGTAAGTAAAGAATGGTTTACTGTATTGGTATTTTTTTCTTTAGAATTTAATAAATTCCACATTAGTGATAATAAGTTACAGTCTCAAGCATGTGTCCTACTATAAATGAACAATTGACTATCATTAGACTGTCCCCTGTCCTGCGTACATACATCTTCAGATGTGCTAATCCATTCGGTAGACACGTTAATGAGCACTGGTTGAAGTGTAATATTGGAGGAACTGAAGCTGGTTGACCTCAGCATGGAGTTTAATACTTGTAATTAAATTAGACAGTAGACAGTTAGTAAAGAGAGAAATAGCCATGCCTCTGGCAAGCTTCAATTATTAATGACTTTTTTGTTCTTTGTGTTCAACTTGAAGAAAAAAATATTATTGTTATAGACTGACTATGAGTTTTAACTTCTCACTGTCACATCTTAGGTTGCTTTGTTTGGAGGGGTTTTTTTTTTAATTAAAAAATGTTTTTTCTTGTGTGCCTATGGTGCTGGGTCCTTTCTGTTCTTTATCTCCTGAAGTAGAGCCAGGGTAATACTTAGGTTACTAAATGATTTATAGAAGTGGTTTAATATCAAAAATAACAAATTTTAACGTGAGATTGTTGCTATTGTTCTAGTGCAGAACAGTGTGTATGTATGTATTATTTTTCTAAGTTCACTGGCTTCTGTATTTTTTACAAAGAAACGTAGTTTTATAAAACACAGCTTTTAATTATCCTTACAATGTTTGTTTATAATCTGCTTGAATTAGAGCAGTAAAGAGGAAGGTGTGTCACAGTGAAAAGTAATTAATAACAAATAATTTGCAAATGCTGTGGACTTCAGCAGAACACACAGGCAGGATCTCAGAGCTGTTCCCAGGAGCACCCTGAGTCTGCGTGTAGCTGTTCCTGCCAGGCGAGGTTCAGTGCTGGTGCAGGCCTCCTGTGATTTAGGTTGTGAAAATGGTGTCAGCTGGACTTCTTAACAACTCCAATTTGCCCCAGGCCTATTTTTCTTCATCTTTACCCACAATCTAACTCATCAGTAGTTTGGAATATTTGAGGTCTGTATGGATATGTAGAGGGTATCAAAAGATTTGGATTATATTTGTAGTTCAGCTACTGATGGGCTGTTTAACTGAGATACTTTATTTCTGTGTGAATTTCTTTCCTCTTCTTCCTTGTTGTGTGTTTTTTGTTCTTTTTAAGCCCAGTTTTGCCATGAATGGAGGCTTGTGACCTGCCTTTATGTCTCTCCTCTCTTCCCTTTAGGCCCATTTCAATTGCATTTAATAGATACATGTTTCAAAGGTGTTCACTTGAAGTTTAATGAAGATAGGCTAAGTAAAAGAGATAGAGACTCTTAGTGCTCCTGCTCAGCATGTAAAGATGGCATGGGAAGGAGCGTTGGACATCAAGGAACCAGCACCAGAGGGAGATGCTATGAAAGTGATCCCAAACTTCAGAAAAGAATCAACTGAAGTTTGCATCTTGGGAGAAACCAGCAAGTGGTGTCGGGAGACATGAGTAGGAAAACAGGCTTAATTCTTTTAGTTCTGCAACTGCTTGTCTTGCTTAAACTGAACACATCAGCAGAAGGAATGTGTTTTACAATATGCTGTCTGGTGTACACACACTATGGGGGGGGCCTCAAAATCATTTAAGAGCCATGTGTGTGCTAACAATTGTTGTCATTCTAAGTGCATGTACTGCTCATGACCTCCAGAGAAGTTTTGAGCTTCTCTACCAGTCTTTCATGTGCTTTCTTTGTCTTATGTCGTTCAATGAGAGAAAAACAAGGAAACTTGCAGTAGCTGGCTTAGAACTGCTGCTGGTTTTTATATTGTAAATGTGCCTCAAGGTGCATGATAGGTTCATCTTATAAATGGAAATCAAATTAAATTAAAACAAAACTTCTTCCTGCCAGTTGAGCCACTGCAAAATCAAGATTCTGCTGTTTCAGAGGCTAAGCCAATTTTAAACTTATTTTCCATCAGTCTTACAGAGTAGTAAATAAAACTTCTAAGTGTCTTGGATACCTCTGAAGCATTTGTTTCTGAAGACATGAACAGGAGCAAGAAAATACATTAATTAGGGAGAACAGATTAAAATCTTCTGAATGTGTAAAGGAACTTAACATTGAAATTATATATAAAATAGGTATTTAATTTGCAAACAGTAAATTAAAGATTTAGTGCTGATAGTGCAATCCATTTTGTTTTTCTTAGAATTAAAGGTTAGAGTTAAAAGTATTTACACTACCCTTACAAGAACAAACTTGTGAAGAAAATATCAGGATTAAATTAAACTGTGAAGACTCAGTTCACAGAGTGAGAAAGGTTGTATGTGTGCCTCTACAGCTTATCACATCTATAGCTCCTCCTTCCTTAGCCTGATAAAGGAGTGAAGGCATTGTAGGTGAGAATATTAGACACAAGATATGTAAATAAAAAGTAGTAATGTTATTAATGATTGGAATACTAATTCATCTTGGGCTTTGGGTGTATTACATGATTCTGGGCTTTTCTAATTGTGGTATTAGCATGTATTGGGAACTTGGAGGTTTATGGATGTAAATTATTAGTACAATGTTTTTTTGAAGTTACAGCTGCTTATAAAAAGAGAACAAACAAACACACCATAGTTGTTGAAACAAAGTTTTGTGAAAAATTAACTGGAGGGTACATATGCTGTACACAGCAGTGCTGCTTACGTTTAATGGGCAAAAGAAGCTGCAGTAAGCCATTACTTCAGATGTTTCTGCTCCTTCTGTTCTTTTTGTAATGAACACTTTCATTTTTGAAGAAGAAAAAAGTTGGGGCAAGCTGTTGTATCATAAGAAAATATAATAGCCTTTTTTCTCCCTCCCTTAGGTAAGTGGGTATTAGAAATTACAGTAATTTTGGCAAGAGTTCAAGGGTTAATGCAACAGATAAATAAAAGGAATTTTCTGTAAATTGAGCCCTGCATTATTTCACTTGTCTTGCCTTTCCAGACCTAACTCATTTAATTTTAAAAAGTAAATACTTAAATTCTTCCTGACAGTGTGCTTTGCTTTTACTATCGTTTATTACTTCAATTATACTTGGTATCACTTAGAACAATCTGCCATTTGGAAATTTCAGTATAGCCTGCAGCTTAGTATTAAGTCTGGCTGCTATTGTAACATGTACAGCATATGACACTAATGTATCAAAATTAGATTTGATCATCCCTCCTGGTTATATTTATTTCACATTTCTTTTGTATTCAGTTAACATAAATGTATTAGGAGAGCTGACACATGATGATGGCTATAGAGTAAGAATATTTTTAAGTATTTTGAGTTAAATTTGAAATTTCAGGTAACCTAACAGTCGGTCATTTTTATATATTTGTTTTAATGAAGTAGAGTTTCAAAGCAAGCCTAAAAAAAAAAATCTGTTTGTCTCTGACATCTCCTCAGGGCTGTCTTCCCGACAGCTCGGGTTCAAAATGGCTAAAACAGAGCTCTTAATCTCTTTCTCATTGCCACCTTTATGGATCACCATGGATAACATGGCCATTGTGCCTGTCACTTGTGCCCATAGCCTGAAATAATCTTTAATTTGCTCGACTTTCTGGATTTTTACATTCAGTCTGTGCTTAAGACACCGTTCTTTTTTTCTGCATGACATTTCTTGCAACATAGCCTTTCCGCAGAGACACAGTTAAAATTTACAACTGCAGTTTTGATTGCTGAACCTTCCTTTCTCTGGGCTTGACACTTAATTCTTGAAGAATGCTGCTGTAGAAGACATTCTTCTAATCTTTAACACCTTTTTACAGTTTCTTTGCACTTTTCCATCTTCATTTTGTGTCTTGCCTTATGCTTAGGTAATGAAGTCTCTAAGCAGTTTGATCTGCATTTATGCAGTATTTAGCATTTTGGAATATTGGTGGGTAACCTATAGTTCAAGTGTTTCAGCCTCTCAGTGTACTACTGGTTACTTGAAGAATAACATTATTTTAGAGATTTTTAGTATTTATATTATTGCTGTATCTTAACATGTCTAATAAGGATTTACACTTTGCTTACTGTGATTGCTGCACATACAAGGTTGTAAATTTAGGAAGACATGGCCAGGAAATGTGAAGATGTAGTGGCTTACACAACTGGTGGTGAGTTTTGAGTACCCATTGACACAGATTTCAGTCTTGGTGCCTGTACGTTCTGTGTGCACCAAATCTGATTCTGTTAGATAACTTCAGGACCACACCACCTTCTCAGGAAACCGTGTTGCTGTCTGTCCTTTAGGTTTCAGTGAGCAGATGTGGTTGTAGCTCAGTATCTTCATACCATTTGTGTCCAAGACACTGAATTCTGGGATGCTTCCGGTTCAATACAAAGACATAAAGAATCCAGATTGAGTTGAAAGAGGTCAGGCTCTGGCTTTCCTGTAGTGTAATAATTACAGGGAATGGTGGATTTGCCAAATGTTTGCTGTGCTTGCAGGAGGGTTTTGTCACGTAGCACTGCTCAATTTCAGGACCCTTAAACAGGGAACTGAAAAATTAGTAAGAAAAACTGAAATTCTTCTTTCCAAAAGTTTACATAAAACCTAGCAGACCTTGGAAAGTTTTTCAAGATAATTTCAGGTATTGGATCTCTTCCATGAATCAAGTGTTGTTGATGAGTCAAGTTGCCACCATTCAAGCTTTCTCATAAGCTTTGCTCGCTGACCAAGGTGAGGACATCTGAAAGAAGCAATAGGAGCAGTATCTTAGTGTCAGGGTGTCTTCTGGTCTGCTCTTGAAAAAGGAACAGAATGACTTATCCAGAATTTGATTCTTCTCCAAACATAAAGATGAAATCTTCAACACCCAATATTGTTTACTTGCCTATTATTTTTGTTAGTGTTCTACCTCCTATAATGGAAACAAGGTATTGATCATAGTTTTGATCTTGAGTACTTTACATCTTGTCATAAACCACCATTCAAGGTTTATACCATCATCCACCTACTTGCGCCATCTGATTTTGACTCTCAATCCATTATATGTCACAGAAATGCCGTTCTACCCTTTACTCAAACTGGATTTTTGTCAAATCATTCTTGGTAGTAACCATGAGATGAAACACACCTGACAGGACTTGGAACTCGTTGAAATAATCTGGTTCATTTTTCTTTTCCTCTGAAGAAATTAGTGCTTTTAGCCTGGAATGTATCCTCACACCTCTGTGGGGGTATGAAACAAACTTTGAAACTGGAGAGAAAAGTCACTAATAGCTTCAACACATTTGGTGTCCAAAAATATGTCCCCCTTTTCAGTAGTCCTCCTCCTGAAATAACTACACAATACACTTTTATTACACCAAAATCAGTGTCAGTCTGATGTGAAAGCGTGCGTCGCTAGCAATGCTCAGTCTGTGTAGCTTTCACAGAAGTGCAAGAGCTGATGTCTTGTCAGATTAGCGGCAGTTATCAGTAACAGGTACACAGGGGACGACCTTTGATAAATGAAATTCAGAAGCAGTGATGCCCTCAAGAAGTTGGACTGTCTAAACTCTCTATATGTTTTTGATTTTAAAGCCATTTATTTGGCATGTGCCCTGTCACCATTCCTTGTTTCCAGCAATGTTTGAGTTTGTTGTCTTTGAGTCCAAAGACAGTAAATAAAGGAGGGCTTATTCTTCTAGTAAATAGTTCAGTATTGCTGAATTAGGAATGGTGCAGTGCAGTGATGGGTGTATCAGTCCTAGTTCTTCTCTTCGGCAGTCAGTTCAATGAGTTCGGTTCAGTCAGTACACCAGGTGGCCATCCCTCAGTCTAGGGTCATGTAGTTTTTTCATATTCCACAAGATTTCATATCTGAGCTGATTTGCCTCTTGCTTTCTCTTTGGGTGGCAGCCTCATCCTCCCTGAGCTTTTTGATTGCTGACAACCAGTATAAACTTTCAGATAAAACGAAGATAGCATTCCAGGAGGTTTTGTAATATAAACAAGTGAATACTTGCAATGACATGTCTCTGATCACTGTGTATATGTTTTGCTTTTATTTAGAGTGCAATTACATTCTGAAAATGAATACAGAAAATTGTTGCCTTTTTATATACAATAACTTCTTATAAGTGCTCAGATTAGTATCTGCATGTCACCTGTCCTTTGAATAGCATCAAGGAAATTATTTGACAAATTCTACCTACCTAAAGCTGTGCAAACACTGAAAACTGTGGGTGAAGACAGTTGTCATCTATAACTGGTGATGCACAAGGAGGGAAAAAATGGGATTTCAGCTTGAATTTTCAGAAATAGCCCTTACTGGAAAGAAACTACTGTTTAATAATCTGAATGTATTTGATCAGCATATGAAAAGCCTCTCTCCATGATGTTGACATTTGTTTATCAGATGGTAATGTTTAGCAGAAGGAGCATTTTGGAGCTTCAGTGCAGATAATTCCAAAGTGCTCAGTATTTTCCTTAATCTGGTTATATGATTACAACTGAGGACACAGCATGGATTTTGAGGAACCCATTTGGCCATTCTGAGCCAAATCAAGAGCCATTTTGGGTTTTTTGGGGACAGGGTAAGTTTTTTGTACAAAGGCATAAAAGTTTCATGGGAAATGAGTGTTTAGTTTAGTTAATCTAGGGGCTACAGAAAATGCAGAAGCAATTCTTCTTTAAAAGGGGGTTTTTTTTTGTAATAGCCAGTTTGAAATTTGTCTAGAATTATTAAAGACTGATCAAATACATAGCCTTTAAACAGATGTTTGTTCGTATACTTTAAAAACCTCATATAGAATTTAGTAATTCACTGCCTGTCACTGATGGCAATCTTGAAAGCATTTTAGTAAATGCAGATTGTATCACTCTGCATTCTTGAGATAATATCAACAAAATTTTAGCTTTCAGTAGAAAACAGATATTGATGTATCTGTTAATTTAAATAGACATTAGCACCAATGTATAAAAATCTATAGCACAAACCAATACTGTGAACTAATAGCGTCATTTAAATTGTAAGAGAACTACTGTGTCATAAGGTTATTTTATTAATTTTTAATTTTTTCTTTTTGGTGGGTTTGTCCTTTTGTAATACGAACATTTAGTATAGCTGTATGGCTATAGGATCTATAAAAACTGATGGAGTTTTATCCCTGCTTTTCCAGCTAAGACATTTAGGAAATGATGAAGTACACATTGTCTGGTCAGAGCATACTCGAGACTACAGAAGAGGAATAATTCCAACAGAATTTGGTGATGTTCTTATAGTTATCTATCCCATGAAAAACCATATGTTCAGTATCCAAATCATGAAAAAACCTGAGGTAAGGGGGTTTTTTTCTTTTGTGTTTCCTTTGTATGTTTAATATGAACTGAGTTTTGTTTAAAATCTGAGCTTTTGGTATAATAGATTGATCCAACAAGGTCATGTGTGTTTAATATTGACAATCGTGGTGTGGTAGGAGGAAGAGGAAGAGCTCAATGAGTACAGTGCTTAGTAAAATCAGTGACCAGAAATTGCAAAGGCCTGATCCTATCAAGCATATCTGCTAACATCATAAACTGGAAGCAAATGTAGAATATTCTCTGTTATCATTTAAATATTAAAATAAACCTGGCAAACTTTTTAATCAAATTTGATACGTGACTGTAGGAGTTGAATAACAGCCTGCTCCAGCTTTCTCAATCCATGTCATATTCCCCTTTCTTCTGTTCAAAGCTAGTTTTCACTTTTTCATTGCCTCCACACAAGAATTTGCAGATTAATTCAGCAAAGCAAGACCATTCAACTACTAGGCATGTGATTCTTTCTAATGACTGTTCCTCAAATGTCTGTGCTGGCCCTGTTCTTAAAACAAGCAAACACTGCCTGAGTAAAAGTAGTCGTTAGTGTTTGTACTGCGTGATTTCTGTGTGTGATGTCACTCACCATTAGTTTTTATACTTTAAATATTAGAACTCTTTCTAAAAGCACTAATATTAATAAATGAGGCATGACAGAAATAGGATTCCCTCTATATGATGACTACCTCTATCTGATGATAGGCATGAAATGATGCCCAGTACATGGTCTTGTTACTACTGGGTTACTTATGTTTTCAGTTAATGAGTATAATCTTTCTCTTATAAATACAAAGAGCTGCATTATTGGGAGTGCGCAGGTTAAGAAGGAAAAGAAAACTGCTGAGAGCAGGGATTGTTGTTAGTGCAACAAGAAGTCCTTGTGTGTGAAAAAATAAATGCCTTCCATCAGATTTCAGTATTCTCAAAACTACATTAAATGACGGATGGCAAAAATAATACAGGAAACTAAAATTCTTTTGCAGCATTGGTTTCATCTTAGCAGGAAGAATATTTAGTGTACTGTCTGCTCACTTTGCTGGTGTGATGCATGAAGTTTGCTCTTAACGTGCTTCATGTTAGGAGTTTCAAAACTTTATTCACATCTACAAGAAATAAAGATACTTAATAAAGTTTTAATTCCTTTTTTATAATTGCAAAATAATGATGTAATGCCAGATAAGATCCATCTGTTCTGTAAACCTTTTGGGTGCTACCAATACTGAAGATAAAGATTTTCTACTGATCTCACAGCTAAGGCTTTACACTTAGGGTTCAAAAAGGCCAAACTTTCACCACAGATTTCTCCTGTGAAGGGCTTACAGTCCATTTGTATAGATACAACTGAAAGGAAGAAGAACAGATAGAAGAACAAAAGAAAACGGTAGGTGAGGGCTGGTCCACCAGTAATTGTACACACTGTTCCACATTTAGTTGGTCCTTACAGACATGTTATATCTAAAGCTATGATAAACATTATTTTAAAATTTGAGTAATTATTCCTTTTGCATACTGCCACCTACAATATTGTTATCTCATTTTTCGACCTCATAAACATCACATGCATGACTCTTCCTAGGACTTTGGCAGCAAGTGTTGGAAGTAAGCTTTGATGAGTCATAGTATTCAAATGGTTGCTTAATTTTCTTCAAATGCTGTGTTATCTGTTACCGAGGATATCAAGCAGTTATATGGCTGTGTATTTCCACAAGAGAAAAGGTCTGTCATGGAGCACAATAACTGGTCTGATTACCTATCAATAAGGAGAAAAAAAATTATATATTTGAGTGCTCTATTGTTAATGTTGATTGCTAATTGTTATTGCTAAGAACTTGCTTTATGTTGAATTTCTTAATTTTTTATTCAGGTTCCATTTTTTGGTCCACTCTTTGATGGTGCTATTGTGAATGGAAAAATTCTTCCTATTATGGTTCGTGCAACAGCTATAAATGCAAGCCGTGCATTGAAATCATTAATCCCATTATACCAAAACTTGTATCCTTTCACTCAAATGGTTTCCAGGTCATATACATTCCCTTGCAGTTCTACAGATATGATCTTCGTGTTTTCTGTCATCTTATATCTCTGTCAGATTTATATAGGGAAAATATTTTCAGTTTTTTATGGTGATGGTGCCTTTAAGAAACTTAAACCCATAGAAAAAAATTCAGGTGAACACCAGCTTTTTAAATTAAGTCAAGAATAGATTCGGTGATCTGAACAGGTGAAAAATCACTGTTTCTAGTATTTTGTAACATGTACTTTGTACACTTTTTGTTAAAATTATTTTAATGGCCATTTTGTGAGTAGACTTTCTAAAATAGCAATGTCATGGTGTTAATAATCTTTCTTTCCTTAAAGACTGAGTATTTATCCAGTATTAGTGTGACTTAGCTTTTGTTCTCTAGTTCCAAGAAGGATACAAACATTGTTGTCCTTCAAGATGACAATTTTTTTGGATTTTTGTCATAAAGATTTTGTTATTCAGCTGAGAATACAAAGTTGTTGTCGAAATGACCTTAGTGTCTTTGTAACGCTGTCAGAAAAGGTTATCTCTCTCCGGTGGTGGTGTGAGGTTTTTTTTTTTTTTTTTTTTTTGGTTGGAACTGAATTGTAATTTTTGAAAGGTCTGCTTTTGGAAGAATAAGGAAAAAAAACCATAAGGTAAGTCAGTCAATATACCTCTCCCCTTCTTAAGACTGAGTTCAGTTATATACCTGTTAGTTAAATCAACAAGAACATACTGATTTTTAATTTCATAAATTGAAAGAAAAGTTTAATTTTTGATCCAAAATAAAATTCTATGCTTGATTTCCGCCCAAGCTGGAGATATTTGTATTTGTCATGTGAAAGATTGTTGCTAAAATATTCTGCTTTTTCTAAGGCTGACTGTTAATACTCAGAGTTTTTGGATTAGATATGATGAAGTGGATTTACAGATGAATGATGGATGGTGTTTGATGTGATCACATTAAATGACGTTTGTGCCCTTTCCATAGATGACAGATGTTGATTCATTGTATTTTTATGTGTGGAAAGGTCCGATCTTTGTCATTACGCAAGTGGCTTAATCAAAGAATTTAAAATGTATTATCATGATTATACCGTGAAAAGTGATGGCTTATAGAATCATATTGATGTATAGTGATGAGCAATTGGAAAACAATTTACTTTGAAATAGTAAACTTTCAGTGCTAAAAAAAAAACCCCACAGACTTCTATGTTTAAACTTCTTTACAGAATATGGAAGTTGTAATAAATTCCTTGGCCATAGCTTGCCAGCTCAGTGTCAGAATTGGCCGGTTCCTAAGAGCTGTGTATTGCACATTCAGTTTTAGTTCAGTTCTACAAATTGTACTTTTTATATGGATCAAATCATTGAATGTCATATATGACATAATGTGGCCTCCATTAAAATGTTGATATTTGTCTCCTATTTTGGTTAGCATGATAACTGGAAAGCATTATATATATATTTAATATAGGTTTTGTGTCATGACTTGGTAAGCTTGTGAAGCACCGGTGGATTGCGCACTGATGTTAAAGGGCAGCTTTGTTAAGTAGAAATTTTTTTTCCACCTGGCTTGTACTATCTTATGTTCAGTGCTTTGTATAATACTTTAGAAATTAAAATGGGGGTGTGGGCAGTTCTTTAAAAGCTGTTTGCTTGGCATGAAATTAGAAAAAACTCTACAAACTTCCCTGGCTTGAATTAAGCTATGGTGGAGTCAGTTGTGTCAGTGGAGAGCAACAAAATATGTTAAACTTCAAAGTTTGGCCTAGCTCTCAGTGGTTTAAAAAACTCTTGATTAAAAACGTTCTGGGCATGTTCTTGGTGTTCAACCAGTGGCCAGATTTGAGGCCAAGAAGGAATTTCCCTCATAGAAGAATGGCAAGGATCGGTGGGTGTTTCCTGTAACATGGACATGGTCTGTTAACTAGGAATATTTGAAAATTAAATCTAATTATGTCCCTGCAATAGCGCGGGGTATTGAAGATGTCAGGGATTGTCTTGAGTGTCTCCCGCTTTTTTCCTCTGGCATAGTTTAGCTATGGATGTAGCCACTCACCTACTGGCTTTAAGTTTGTTGCGGGCTGAAGGGCAGGAGTACTTTATGGTCTGTGGTTAAATAGCTTTTCTGGAGACCCTGCCAGACTTAATGTCTCTTGTGGAAGACAAAGCGGAGACCGAGCTGGAAAAGTGAAGCTGATAATCAAGGCTTCCCACATGGCTAGGAACATAATGATGATAATGGTGTCAGTGAAGGACTTCTGGTCTGCTTGAAATTAATTTTTGCTTACTTATGAGTGTCTAATACACTGGAGTAGTGTTAGTTTATTAGGAACTTTGATGATGGTTAGTAGAAACCCAGTTGAATATGGATCTTGAGGAAACAAGAGTACTTGAGACTTCTGTCAAACAGAACACCTTTCAGGCCCTACACCTCTGTATTAGCTCTCCTTTTACTGTAGTAGACCAGCAGAAATAGTTAATTTCAAAGCCAGCATCAGTGTGCGGATGTCTCTGTGCCTGCAGGTGTGTGGTTCGTTTCACTGCACTGTGTAGTACTTGGTGGGCACCTTTTGACTTGGTGGGGATTGATGATATGTATGTAGATCTGTGCTTATCCATTTTTGAGGAATGTTTACGATGTCACGTTGCAGATCTTTGTGGTGATGGATCATGCTAAATGCTTCATTAAACTAGGACGGTTTTGGCCTGCTTGTGTATGGGATGTGAAGAAAGTGACACTGAGTTTGGCCCTCCTACTTCCAAGGAGGGCTTATCTGTCCTCCGAGTTAGTGCATTTTCTAAGTGCAGACCTGACTGAAAAAATCAGCTGTCATTTGTAATCAGCAGGGATATTCAGTCCTCTTCATGTAACCTGATTGCAACTTTTTCCTTATTGCGCTAGTCTGCTAATCATGATGTGGCAATGGGTAGTACGTGTGAATAGTATAATAGTGGTTGCATGGATACAGGAAATTCTGCTCATCTCCCTTTTATAGTCTGCTCCAACTTTGAGCAGGTATTGTACAGTCTGCAGTAGCTTTCTGAGATTGACATATTCTGTCAATCACCTTCCACTTTCTGATGTTATTTTGATACTTTTGATAGCAAACTTAAATCTTCAAAGTCTTTTGCTATCTGATTTTGTTAATGATTTTTAAATATTTAATCTGCTCTGTGTTTTTATTCTTTACTTGGAATACTATAATTATGTTTCCATATTGTAGTATTTTAAGATTAAAAATTTACTAAATTTATCAGCAAACATCAGTCGGGCATGGCAGGTATCCTGCTTGAACTTCATGCTTGACATATTTATTGCTGCAGCAGCATGAAGAGAATATTGCCATTTTGGGTGGAGTTTCTACATTGATTTCCTTTAGTTTCGGAATTTGCTTTAGTTTCCCCTTTGAGGATTCTGCAGTCCCTCACTGTCTTTTGGTGACCTGGCTTTCTTGTAGCAGTACCCCCGCACGGACAGGCAGCATATACACACACAGTAGCAGGTGATGCACACAGAATACTTGTATTGTCTTGCTAATGTCACAGCAGTACCCTACCCCCCTCTCTATCTCATAGATAATGTGTTTCTTCTTATTGCATTTGTTGGCGTAGTAAGAAGTACATGCGTATCTCCTGAATACACTCCAGCTGCACATACGCTAGGAAAACTTTTGAGACTCGTAACTGCAAGTGTAATAATGAGGCTGAATGTTGAGAACAATCATTTTCACTGTGATGTAGAATAAGGAGGCTGGTATTTAGAGGATTGTTCAATACTCTTTATTTACTAAATTGCATTGAAATTCCTGATAGGAATAGTTTTATTCATGGCTTGCATCTCAGAGCAAGCACTTTGTCACATTCTGAATTCAGAACCTACCATGTGTAGAAAATGGATCAGTACTAAATATTTTGAACAATTGAAAGAGTGGCTTCCTGTAAAATTTGTCTTGAACTTCCTGAATAAACAACAGATGTTAGCTAGGTGCCACAAGATACACCAAGATAATGTTCTTTGCTTGGCATGGTAGGCACCTCCAGTGATCTAGCGTGTTAAAATCATTGCAACAAAACAGGAAAAATACTAGAAACATTTTGGGAGGGAAATTCCAGTTGTGAAACAACTAATGTTATTTTTTGCACATTGTGCCAGAAGTTTTGGAGCGTTAACAATTATTCCAAACTATCTACACCCCAGGTAGTGCAATTCAGACACCATTCTTTTCTGTCTTGCATAGTATTCCCCTCCCAAAGGATGCTACCTAATATGTAGCTAGACACACAGTAAGAAAACCTATTTAACATCTTTTAAATTTCAAATTTGTTAAGATTTTAGAACACCTGGAATATTGATGGCTGTTTTATCCATAATCATAAGAGCATAATTTTCATTTCTTTATAATAATCTACAAAGTCTTTGACCTAATGCCAAGAATTGGCATTTCTTTTTTGGGGTTTCTTTTTTCTGGTCATGCGAAACAGATTAATTTAAATAGCAAAGACATAATGCTGTTTTAATTATTCCATCTGTAAAATATTATAGAATAAATCTTAATGATTGGATAAATCAATATTTTTTATCAAAACTGGAAAGTTTACATCCTCCTATCTTTTTTCGACACTGTATTCCTAAGCAGCTGGTACTTGGTGTATTGTAGCTATCCATTTTAGACAGTTGTCTTCCTGAGAAAGGGAAGATATTAACCCCATATGGTATCTGATAAGACAGTAACTTCTTTATGACTAAAGTAATGTGTTTGAGTGGTTCGTTAAAAGTTTCCTCTGTATTAAAAACTCGTAGCTCAGAGGAAGGTTTCTTGCTTAATGTGATACTCAACTGTCCCAAGAAAGGGTTTTATTGGAACTGGTAGTGACACTGTTTGTTGTGCCTGCTTGATGCTTGCCTGCCTCAAGGCAGAGTTTCAGACATAGGAATGCTTATCTTTAAAAAAGAAATTGTTCATTATTAGTGACATGTAGT